CTGACAGTTAATTTGCATAAGGATATGCTGATTAGCCAATGGGAAGGGTAGCGGTCGTACGCCAATTACCATGTTTCTCTTTTATTAGTGTAGATGTGTAAACATAAATCTGGAATGTCTTTCTCAATTCTCTGGCTAAATCCTACTTATCCTTACAGCATTAGTTTACTATCACTTGCTTAGGGAAATCTTCCGTATTATTCACCCGTTTCTCCTTTGTACTACTTACCCAATTCTAATCCAAATCTTTTGTCTAATTTTTTAAAATACATATTTTTATTGATTTCAGAGAGGAAGGGAGAGAGATAGAAATATCAATGATGAGAATCATTGATTGGCTGCCTCCTATTGGGGATCGAGCCCACAACCCAGGCATGTGCTCCGACCTGGAATCCAACCGTGACTTCCTGGTTCATAGGTCGCTGCTCAACCAATGAGCCAGGCTGGACCAGCCAATTTGTCTAATTTTTTTATGTTTTCCCTGCTAGAGTGCAATCTCGGTGTCAGAGTAGTTTACACCAATGTATCCCTACCAACTAACACTATATCTGACACATAGAAAGTGATCAACATATACTTACTGAAAAAAATCTATACTTAAGAAAATTTACATGCTATGAAGCCTTACTATAAACATAAAGTAAAAATCATTTTGTTGAAATTCTAAGTTTCATTTTGCTTTATGTGAAAGTTATCCTTAATAACTTTTGCTTCATATCCCACATTCAATCTACCACCAAATTGTCATTTCTATCTGTAAAATATCTCTATGACCTTATCTCTAAATGTCCATAATCTCTGAACTAAATTATTTTTATTACTTTTGTACTGCTTCCACTCTGCATTCCAAAATCATCTTCTCCATAGCAAAGTGATTCCTTTAAGTCATAAATCAGATTACATCATTCCCCTGCTAGCATCCCTCTATGGCTTTCTAAGCCCTAGAATATCTCAACTCCTTACCATCACTTGTAAGGCTCTACATCAAGCATGTCAAACTCGTGGCTCGCGGGCTGCATGTGGCCCACGAGTATTTTTGCAGCCCAGCCAATATAATGGTAAGTAAGAAACGTGTTAATTAAAATTTCGTAACTTACTTTTTACAATATCCTGTTATACATAATTATTAATAATGAACTACAGTAGGTCCTCAGGTTACGTCGGAGATCTGTTCCTACAGCACGATGTCACGCGATTTTCGCCGTAAGTCGGAACCCACCTACATAAGCACCTATGTCACTCACATGGAGCACATACACAGCAGTAATGCAGTGAAACAGTAAAAAAAAAATTTAAAAGAAAGATAACAATTCCTGACCTTTACTTGTGGTAAATAAATAATAAAAAACATAAAGCACATATGTACATACGTCAAAATGACGGAACTTTATTTTTATATAAATAAATGGGAAATGGCGAGGTAACCACGAAACGAGATACGAGTCTGAGGTAACCCAAGGACTGTCTGTACAATGTTCACTAATGACTGATTACTATAATCTTGTTGCATTCATTTCCGTTACCCGCCTTACGTGCAGGAGCACCATTTCTCTCCACTAATACTAACAGCAAATATTTTAGTGGCCGATTGCCATGGCAAAAAGTTCCATCATTATTTGGTGTGCACAACAGGAAATATTTCGCTTTTGGAGAACAAGAAAAATAGGTTCATTTGTGTTATGCTTATTAATTTGTGCAGTTATTCAGTGTCTGGTAAGTTAATGTTCAAGTTAATGTTTAATTTTTATTAAAATGTATTATTTTATGTTAACTAGAGGCCTGATGCACAAAATTCATGCACTTGTGTGGAGGGGGAGTCTCTCAGCCCGGCCGGTGCCCTCTTGCAGTCCGGGAGCCCTCGGGGGATGTCTGACTCCCTCGGTGGAGGTGGGAGAGGCTCCTGCCACCGCCACTGCGCTCGCCAGCTTCTGGCTGAGCGGGGCTCCCCATGTGGGAGCGCACTGACCACCAGGGGGCAGCTCCTGCATTGAGTGTCTGCCCCCTGGTGGTCAGTGTATGTCATAGCTAGCGGTTGAGCAGCCTCAGCATATCATCAGCATATTTTGCTTTGATTGGTTGGACACCTAGACAACCAAACACTTAGCATATTAGGCTTTTATTAAATAGGATTACTCATTTATCTCAGCCCTTTGTATTCAGCATGTCTCTATCGAAATAAACCTACGTTTCTATGAAAATTGAAGCTTTTGTTTTTTTGTGGCCCACATAAACTTAAACCTTGTTTATTTGGCCCATGTTAGCCTTTGAGTTTGACATGCTTGCTCTCCATCATCTGGCCCCTTTTCACTTCTATATCATTACCTACCAATCTGCTCAACTACCTCTGCTGTGCTCTAAGCACAACGGCCTATCAGTGGTTCTCAACCTTTTGGCCCTTTAAATATGGTTCCTCATTGTTGTGACCCAACCATAAAATTATTTTCGTTGCTACTTCATAACTGTAATGTTGCTACTGTTATGAATCGTAATGTAAATATCTGATATGCAGGATGGTCTTAGGCGACCCCTGTGAAAGGGTCGTTGGACCGCCAAAGGGGTCGCGACCCACGGGTTGAGAACCTCTGGCTAGAATCTAGCCGCTAGATAGATCTTCCTTTCACAGCCAGGAGGGATCCCACCCTGGGGACTTAGCACTTGCTGTCCCCTCTTCCTGAATGGCTGTTGTCTCCCCTTTTCCTGAGGTTAACTCATTCTTGTAGGTCAGATCTGGACTTAACCCCTCCTTGACCAAATCATAACTTAGTCTACAAACTGACTTAAATTGTTTGCATAGTATATATAATTATCTGGTTTTTAAATAATACCTCTTTGTACTTAATTGTCTGCTCCACCTCTCAAGTAGAAGGTAAAATTCAATGACAGGGACTCAGTTTGCCTTGTTCATCACTATCTCTAGCGCTGAGGACAGAACCTGGCACATAGCAGGTGCTCACCTTACTGTCAACATAAAGTAAGAACCGTTTTTAAACGCTGAATTAAGTTACCAGTAAGGCGCAAAAACCTGTTTCCCAATCGCTATGCCCAACTCGGCCTCTCAGCAATGCCAACCAACCTGGGAACCCTGGACTCCCCTGACAAGCGGCTTTCGTGAACTCTGCCATAACCTGGGAGGGAAATCAGGGCTGGGATGGAGAAAGATGCGAACGGATGGGAAGAGAGCCCCAGCGCGATGCACCACCAGCCTCCTCTTCACCAGCGTTAACTCCCTCAAGGCCCGGCGGCGGCAGAGAGAGCAAAACCCCAACAAAGTCGGTGTACTGCACCGCCTTCTACCTGTCGGAGGAGTCCGCGTCGTCGAACTGCCCGGGAACCACCCGACTCATCAGCAGCCGCCTGTAGTCCATGACTGCACGCACGGGGCGTCAGCGCCACCGGAGGAGCCACACAGACGGTCCAACCTCACGGCCTCTCCGAGGTCGTCCGCCTCACAAACCGCGCTGTAGTCCCGATGCCAAAAGCGCGCCACGTGCTACAAGGACTTAGGATTTACAGACCCGGTACCGCCGCCCCCGGGTCGAACGGAAGCCCCGCCCCTACCGGAAATGTTCTACCGGAAGTCCCGTCCCGCGGCCCACTGAGAGCCTGCGCACGGAGGTCACACGGAAGTGTCAAGCGGTTTGCCTTCCTCGCTGGGCCCGACTTCCCACCTGGAGGCTTTCGTTTCTGTGTGTCTTCCTGTAGAAAGGCGCGCCAGCCAAGCCACACGTTCGGCCTGGGGGGTTACATCCGCATGACTTCCCAACTCCGGTAACAGACTTCGGAGTCCCCCCAGGCCGGGCCCCCTGGGGCCGGAGCCCGGCGTGC